CCAGGGCAGAGCAACTCTGCCTCGGGCTTCCTGTAGTCAGCCGCTGGTCAGTTTCAGCAGCGGCTGAATCTGGACGCCAGTTCCGACTTACATGCAAATTCAACTTAAGAACAAACCTACAGTCCCTATCTTGTATGTAACCTGGGGACTGCCTGTATTAAGACTCACAAAATGGGTTAAGATAGTTAAACTTCTCTTATGCGAATGGCCTATTTACATGGAATTCTGTATAATCAGGTACCCCAGTTTTGTGTGTACTTACTGTGTGTTATTGTGTAATTTACCATTAGATTAGAAACCACACAGTGCAGCCACAGCCTTCTTGATTTCTAATCTCATCTAGCCTTCAAGAAGGAGCAGTACAATTTTCATAAAAATCCTGAAGACAAAGCTACCTGGCAAACTAGCTTTGCCTTCAGCATCTCGTCCCTCCACCCCGAAATGTCCTTACCGTTACATACATCACTCGTGAAGCAGCAACTAGTTCCCTTTTACCTGAACATTGAGGTGTAATTTCTTCAGACGCTTTATCAGTGTGTCTTTATTGCATGGCACAAAAGCCTCAAGATGAGAGTACACGCTGTGGCGGATGACAGGACTTATCTCCTGTAACTGCAGCTCAATACTGACAGAAACAAACAAAGATAGCTAACTAGTGAGGCAATCCTGAATGAGGATGGAAACAGCAAAAACTTAACCATACTTTAGTTATGCATACAAACACATGTTGAGGATGGAAAGTATTTATATAAGTGTATCAGTAAGAATAATTCTCGCAGAAAGATGGAAGCACAAAGAAAGTATATTTAAAAAAAAAATCGAATCTAATGCATATTAGATGTTGGCAGTACTAAGGTTTGTTTTGTATATCATTCAAATTTGCAATTACTCCACCAATTTCATCCCAGGAATGATTCAGTTGTGGTTGTTACATTTACTCAGAAATAATTTGATAAAATTTTCCAAAATATTTCTTTCAACGTATATTACAATCATACAAGCGGCACGTGCATGCATGCACACACATACCACCCCAAACAAAAAATCACCTTCACACATCAGACACTAAACTGCAACGATTAGAAAATTAGAATGAGCTAGATTTTTCCTTCTTAATAAAATCTGAAATCATGTAATTGTATGAAAACATGGGCTGTAGGAAAGTGATGTACAAAACTTCCACAGAACTCTGCTAATGAACTCAAGGCCATGGGTACTGAAAAAATATTTTACACTGGTTAAACCATACATTTACATCTCTGTATTGAACTGGTTGTCACTTGTACCAGTACAGATCTTCAGCTGGTCACTAAGGCTATGTGTACACTCACAGCTTCTTGCGCAAGAACATCTTGAGCAAGTGTTCTTGTGCAAGAAGTCTTGTGCAAGAAAATGTCCACACTGCCATGTACGAGCTGTGCTTTTGCGCAAGAGTGCCTATGGCAGCGTGGACGCTTTCTTGCGCAAGAAAGCTCTGATGGCCATTTTAGCCATAGGGCTTTCTTGCGCAAGAAATCCCTGCTGAGCATCCACACTGCCCTCTTGCGCAGCAATCTAAAGATAACATTCCAAAAACATTCCAACACACACAGAACTGAAGAGATAAACACTTACTCCAGCAGAATATTGTTCATATCCTGTGTGAAGAATTTCTTCCTACCTTCTTCATCAAACAGCTTGGCAGCCTGGAAGGAGAGCAATAAAAATACCAAGAAATTTATAGCACATTTCACCCTAAAAATCTTTACAGGATTTAAATGATACACAAACTACCTTTGTGGCCATATATCACACTGTCTTGAAATCCTATACCACCATGAAATACAAAACCACTACATGATTATTTAAACCAGGACCTGAAAAAATATTACTACAGGTTGTACCTCCCTGAACTGGAATTCTCTGGTCTGGCAACACCATGGAACCCAGGAATAGGGGAGTCTGGCAGCAGGGCAGGAGCACATCTGGTGGGGGAGGGGGCGTGACACAGCGGGGAGTCTCTTCTGGGCGTGAGGGAGGGCAGTATGACAGACAGCTCCAGCCCTAATGACTAGGGATCCCCGGCTCCAGCCACAGAGCTCTGGCCTCATTCTGACATAAGTGGCCAGGGAGCTCCAACCCTAGCTGCAGAGTCAGAGCTCTGTGGCCACCTGGCTCTGCAGCCGGAAGGCCAGAGCTCCGCAGCTCCCTGGCGGCAAGCCTGGGGCAGCAGGGCTGGGCTCAAGCCCTAGCCCAGAGGCAGCAGAGCAGCATGAGTCATTAGGAGAGGGATCTCCCCTGGTCTGGTAAATCCCCTTGTTTGGGACCTTCAGGTCCCGAAGGTGCCAGACCAGAGGTCCAACCTGTATATCTGATTAAAACTACAGAAGTGCTAACAGGCAAAACAATCTTTTAATTTAGAATGTGGCCAGGTCTGTGAGGTTAGAACCCCATTCTTGCTACAAGTGCCAAAGGACTTTTAACTGGAAAGTTATTAGGATCTTTGTTTCAATTTGCTCCAAAAGATACCCCTCTAACAGAGATATCCTTCCCCAATAAAAACAAAGAACAAAAAAAAACAAACAAAAAAACCCACACCAGACTAGAAAGGTGGCTCATTGTTTACTTGAAGGAAAGAACACGACTCAGTATACTGTACCAACAGCAGCAACAACAGGCAAATCCCTGCTTTCAGTTCATTAAGGGTTCTGTTCCTCCTCAGCATTACTAATCCCTGAGGAAGACAGAGGATCTGCAGAAGAGGACCTGTTTCCACTACTCCTGGTGAAACCCTTGTGAAAGAACCATGTAGACAGAAAGAACAACCACTTCCTGCTGTCTAGTACTGTCCAGTGTTCTCCCCAATTCTGGTCTTGCAGAACAGAGAGCTCATTTGTGCGCCCTCCTTCTCTTCCTGAATCTATGTACCTTCTTAGCTCTGTAGGAAGTGGGAGGAAAAGTGGCCTCTCTCCTACGCCTTCCCACTGAATTGAAATTTAAGGTGTGATTCACAGCTCTGGTAGGCATACCCACGCTAGCTTTCAACTAGCTAGCAAACTAAAAATAGGAGCACAGATACCGTGGCATAGGCTTTAACATAGGCTATATAAGCTAGCCTGGTCAATCTGAGTACATACGTTACTAATCCATGCTGCTGCATCTTCACTGCTATTAATATACTAAACCTCTTAAAAAGAGTGAACTTGTGAATGCCTCGAGTAGTACATGAGTATGGTATCATTCTAATATGTGTGGCTACAAATAATGTGACAATCCCACAGCAGTGCAATTGATAATATTTATGTGGAGAATGTCAATCCTTTTGAAAATGGAAAACATTCTTCATCTATTTCTACAGTGAATGTGTTATTCTTACAAGAGTAATTAAACTGCAGACAGATATCCTGAGTTGACAAAGCTCCTTTAATATTGCAACACATCTGTTCTCATTCTTTTGTAATATACACATGAACTATTTCACTTTCAAACATGTATTATTGGGATAGTGCATTTTGTAGTGCATTTTGTACTGCATAAGAGTTTAGTAGTCAATAACAAATCATTATGTTTTGTCCTTCAATCATGCACAGATAAGCCTATAATGGCAAAATAGTTTAAGTGCTAGAGCTAGACTGTATGCACTGCATTACTATAGTAGAGTTCCAGAGTCTGGTACTGTATCTCTTTATCGGTCGTAAAAGCCCTGAACCATTTGTTTTGTAAAGACTACTAAAAATACATGAACTTTACAAGTTATTTATAAGGAAAACTACCACAAGACAACAGATTTAATTGTAAACCTTCCAACCCCAATGCGTGATTAAAAAGGCTCATTTTGTAAAGTGGATTCTATTTCATTTCTTCTGACAGCCACATCATCACAGTCTATTTCCTTCCTCCAACTTAACAATATTCTCAACTATTTTTATTAGTTTCTCTTGCTTCATTTTTAGCCTTGTATCAGAAGGCTGCTGAAAAAGATTAGTTAGGGTAGGTGAGAGGAGTCGAACTGACCAAGAATAAACTGAAGTATAGTAATGACTAATGTACTCTGGCTGTGCCTGTTCCCCGCAAAGGCAGCACATGACTGGAAAAAAAAACCCCATAAAGGGTTCAAAGGTGACCTCAGAAGTCTAGGTCTGCCAAATGGAATGCATGGTAGTTTTCCCATTGAAGAGAAAAACATTCAGAGGTTTGGGTATATTTTTAATCACACAGATTTCTCTAGAATACTACTAATCTGTTGACTTGTTGGAAGGCTGGTATGGCATTTGGACAACTATTCTCACAGGAAAAAAAAAATCTCATCCTGCAGCCTCCATTAGACTGCTTCTTGGTATGCATCTTTCATACAAAGGAGTAGCCAATCCTACCCATACCAGAAAATTACTGGAAAATTAAATATTACTTGTCTGTCACAATAGTGGAGATAGCGTGTATGTGAGGGGGAAGGAATTACCTGAATTTATTTTTTGAAACAAATTTGGGAATTCACTTACATTTGTTTAAGAAAATAATGAAATGTTTAGTAGGACCATGTTTTTATTCAAATTAATCTCATGGTTTTTAAAGATCTCACACCTATTCTTGTCTGCAACCAATATTATCCATAACTGACAAGGCTAGGTAAAAGGAGGTTATTCACTTTGCAATAACTGACATTCTTCAAGATGAGTGTCCCCATGGGTGCTTCATATTAGGTCAGTGCGCCGCCATGGATTGAAGTCTTCACCACAATGTCCCTGGGGCTGCACATGCAGGCGCCACTAGCCACATGCTCCTATTATACAGGCATTGCACATGTATGACCCCCCCCCCAAGTTCCCTCTACTTCAGAGTTCTGACCTCACTGACGTAGAGAAGGGAGGAAGGTAGAGTAATGGAGCACCCAGAGGAACACTCATCTCGAAGAACATAAGTTACAGCACAGGTGAGTAACTTCCTCCTCTTCAAGAGATGTCCCTGTGGGTGCTCCTCATCAGGTGACTTTATATATGTATTTATGGAGGCAGAGACTTCAGATTTGACATAAAAACCAAGTCCTTTGTTATGGTTTGCTATGGAAACGAATAGTCTAGTAGAAAACCTAAGGTGCTTAGTATGATGTAGATAAAAATAAAGTGTTCTACACAGCTCTAGAGTGTGCATTTTTTACTCAAAGGAGTTAGTATGAGGTTTGGGGAAAAACATGGGTAGGTTTATTATTTGATTGAGATGGAAGGATAATCTTTATTTTTGGGAAGAATCTGGGGTGTGTGCATAATGTCACTTTGTCCTTGAAAAGGATAATATATGGAGGGTCTGCCATGAATGCTGCAATTTCTCCTACCATCTGGCCAAAGAGATGGCTACTAGAAAAGCTGTTTTCATAGACAAGTGCAACAACAAATTGGCAGTCATTGGTTCAAATGGAGGGTGGGGAAGTGCATTTAAGACCAGATGCAGGTCCCAAGGCTCCACAGGTGGAACCATCTCTCGGTTGAGTGCTTGTAAACCTTTCAGGAATCTCTTACAGACAGCATGTGCAAAAAATCAAGGAGTCGTGTATCTTAAGGTGAAATGTTGTTATAACAGTCAGATGGACCGTGACAGTAGTAGTAGCAGCAAGGGCAGATTATTTAAGCTAGTAAAAACAGGTACAAGTTATATATAACTACAAGGATACAACTTGCAATAGCACAACAACTGTCATGGGCAGTGAGAAGGAACTGAGGAGGGGAAGTTTGGAACAGTACCACCCTCTATACCACTATGCAGCAGTGCAGCGCAGCTGGGGATGCATGTGTTGCTTCAATGGGTATCCCTGAAGGAAAAAAATGCTGACAAGAGTGCAGTGGATGCACATTACATGAGCATTCCATTTATGGGTATCACTCAAAGAAAATCTGACTAGTTTATTTTTCATCTTTCAAATAGATTTGCACAAAGTAATCAAGCAATATAGTGAAAAATTCTTTCAGTATCAATAAGATTAAGGTGACAAAAACTTGAGAGGTAGCCATGTTAGTCTGTAACTTTCAAAATGAATAGTCCTGTGGCACCTTAGAGACTAACAAAAATATATAGGATGCACTTTCGTGGGTAAGACCCACTCCTTCTTACCTCTACAAATAAAAATGTTCAGAAATCATTGAAGTTAGCAAAAGGGTCAAAGTTCCAAAAACTACCACTAGAGCAGAAGCTCAGAAGACGTTTTCAAGTGTCTCTCCGGGTGTTTCTAGACCACATCGCTCTGTAGGCAGAGGGATATAAATGAAACACTTCAAAAGTGCAAATGAAGCCGGGATTTAAATATCCCACGCTTCATTTGCATAATCACATAATGGCACTCTTTTGAAAGCGCTATTTCGAAAGAGTGCCATTATGTGATTATGCAAATGAAGCGTGGGATATTTAAATCCCGGCTTCATTTGCACTTTTGAAGTGTTTCATTTATATCCCTCTGCCTACAGAGGGATGTGGTCCCCGACACAAAATGGAAAAGTCTCTTTAAAAACCTCACAGGCTTACTCCTTCCTGACAGAACATGGCAAGAAAGGAATGAATGAAAAGACATTAACTCCTAATTCCTTATTAATTTATTTTGCTAATAAAGATGGAAGAGCTTTATTAAGTCATCTTGTCTACCCAAGCCCAAACCTCAGGAGTGCTGGATTTTTCTCTACAAAATATTCAAAATTGTTTTGTCTAGTCAAATTCAAGAGAGTGTAAGGTACCACTACCTCCCTAGGGAGAGCATTCTACAAGCTTTCATAAGTTGAAATAAAGAATAGATCTTGTTGCTGGTAATTATTTCCTTGTTACTCAACCTTTGCTCAATTTCATCTAATTAAACCAAACAGTTATGCTCCCTTCTTGATATTTCTACCAGCATTTGAAGGGTATGAAGTCACAGCTTAAGCTGTAATTATTCTTCTCAGTTCTCAAGGGTTGCTGAATGTAATCCCCCACCAATGAGTTTATACTTACTATTCGTAGGTCTCCAACACGCTTTTCAAGAAGTACAGGCAGACCTTCTGGGAGTGCAGGCACCTGCTTTGGTGTCGTGACCTGAGAAGTGTTGGTTGGCTGAGTGGCACTTCCATTCTCTCCCGATGGCTCAGACCCTGGGCTGCCATTAGAGGTGCCATCAAGCAGCTTGTCAAAGTCAATATCTCCCAAAAACTCCAGGGCACTTTCGGTTTCCTGCAGGAACTCATGCTCATTTGTGCTACCAAAAATGGGGAGGACAGGATCGGTCACCCTGAGGTTTAAGTCAGAAACATCATTTCCTGTGGTAGCAGAGGAGGAAGGGATTTTACTAGGGGTGGAGGTGGCAATAGTCATTGGGGGTTCTGGATTGGATTCTTTCTTCCTCAGTGTTTCCTTCTCCTTTTGGAACTTCCGGATCATGGCTGCCAGAGAGAGTGAGTCCTTGTATAATTTCTTCTTCTTCTTTTCAGATTTGTGTGAATTTAAAGCCATTACTCTGTAAAGAATGGAAAATTTTGTTAGAAAGCATATCACTGCCAATGCCAACATCATTTTCTGCAAATTCACAAAAGCTAAAAATAACCTGTGGAGAGGAAAGAGCAAAGTCAGCCTTGTGTGCATGCATCATGAGATTTTACCCAATCAAAACATTACAGACTTCATTGCCAACCAAAATGTTCCTTTTCCATGCTGCCCATCTCTTAATTGTTCAGCACTAATAAATCCTGTACACTATATAGAATTAGCAAAGTAAAGCTCAGACAGAGTCAACACTTATGTTCTAAAGTTATTTTCTGTATTGCCCTGCAAGCATTTGAATGATGATCAGTTTGCTTGTGATTAGGTATGTTTAACTAGCATATAATACATTTTTCCTAAGAATTTTGAAAGTGTAGGATTCACATTTATAGTCTACTCAATAAAAACGAGGATTCATTTTTATAGTCTACTCGTTATTTTAGCATGTTATAAGCTATATGAGGTTTTCAGAACTAATTCTTAGACACTCAAATGGGTTACTTTTAGTTCATGGAGAACTTTCCAAGAGTTAACGTTACAAATCTTTTTCTTTACATACTAGCCAGAGAGAACAGGTACGATTAAACTAAAAGATAATTTAGCTACCCTTACCGTTTGTTACTAGTATTTAAGATTTTGGGGGGATTATAAAAAGTTCTCCAGGATCAGACAGCAGAACAGTTGACACTCTCCTAGTATATAGTTGAAACTTAAATTGTTCTAACAAAGACTGCATTGGTAGGAAAACTGGATAGAATGGATGCATGGAGTAAGAATGTATGGACTGAAGACTTTAAAAGAAATTTATCTAGAAAGGAAGACTGACATGGTTATGAAATGCAGTGGGGACAAGCAGGATAGGAGAATCTAGCTGTGCAAAGAAACGGAGGTGGTGGGAACAAAACAGAAGATGTACACAAGAAGAAGTATGGTGAAAAGATGAAAAATAGACTAAGGTAAATTCAGGAAGGACAACATATAGCAGAGGTAAATGACTCAAAGGAGAAAAGTCTATTAGAAAATAGGGAAGAGAAGGAAAAAAAATGCAGCAAGTGCCTCAAATGTGCTCTTATTTAGCAATATCAATTTGGAGTTCAGTATCATCTTAGAGCCCAACATCAATGAATTATTTGAAGTTGAAGCTCAGACTCCATATTTAACATGTTAAGATTTCACTAGTGCATGAATGCCCAAGTTCCACTACAACTTCAAGCATTGAAACATTCAGCACTGAAATCTTTATCATCTTCAGAATTCATGTGAAATCACAGTTAGAAAATAAAGGGACCGGTATAGGAGAGGCATGGAGAAAAGTGGGGAGGAGGAGGCACAAAGAGCAACAATACTGCTTTCCATCTTACCTGTCTAGAAACAATTTCTAGATAGTTTCCTTTCTCATTTCATGTCTCTCTATGCACTTGCCCTTAACAAATGTGAATGGAACAAAGGAAAGCAAGGGCATGAAGGTGAGGGGGAAGGAAAAACAAGAAAAAAGAAACTAAGGATAGGAAGGAGTCTTCATGACATTAAAAAAAAAACACAAGGGAAAAGAAGAAAATGTATTGCTGGTGTAAGGGGCCTTGGGCTGAGTAGTGATGCTGACTTTCATGGATTCCAGGCTCCTTTTGCATATAGCAGAATCTCAGTTATGAACTTGTAAAATGAAGTTGTTCATAACTGTGAAACATTTGCAACTCTGAACAAACCATTATGGTTGGTCTTCCAAAAATTTACCACTGAACATTGACATAAAAGAGCTCTGAAACTATTATTGAGAAGAAAAATCTCTCGCTTTCTAGTAGTTCACATTTAACACAGTATTGTACAGGTTGAACCTCCCAAACCCGGGACTCTCTTGTCTGGCAACATCCGTGGTCTGGAAGGAAGGCCCATAGATGTTGTTGGACAAGAGAGCCCTGTAGGCGAGGAGCACAAGTCAGGGAGTCCTACAGGTGCTGGGGAGCCCCAGCAAAGCTGGCAGGGGCTGGTCCTACAGTGGGTGGGGAGTCCAGCCCTGGGGAGCCCCTGCACAACTGAAAGGAATCCCCAGTCCTGGCTGAGAACCCCAGCAGCAGCGGGGCTGGCACCAGCTAGGAGCAATCCTTGGCCCCAGCTGGGAACCCAGGTGGCAGTAGAGCTGGTGGCGGGTACAGGGACTTCCCGGTGAGGACCCCGGGTGGAAGCAGGGCCAGCAGTGGCTGGAGGGGAAGGGACCCCTGGGGGAAGTGGGGCTAGCAGCCCAGAGAGGAGCCTTGACCTCCCATAGTCCAGCAAACTCCGTGGTTCATGACCGCTCAGGTCCTGAGAGTGCCAGACCAGGGAGGTCCAATCTGTACTGTGTTTGAGTTTTTGTGTGTTTGCTGTTACCTAATTGTGAAATTTCAGTTCCAAGTGAGGTATGTGGTTAATAGATCAGTTTGTAATTCTGAGGTTTCTATGATACCTTCATTTCTCCTGTTTCTCTTTCCTGCTTAACGTGTTGTGCAATACAGATGTTTAAATATTAATTACTAAATGCAAAACCACAAATTCCAAAACAAGAGTTTTGTTAGCTAGCAGTTATGGTTGAGAACAAATATAGTTATTATAGTAGTTATGAAAAATAACCTGTGGAATTGCCTGCAAAGGTATACAATTCTGATACCAAACTTTGGACATATTACAATGCCCTGCAGTTCAGACTAAGGAGATGTGAAAAGCTGTGTGTACTAAAGTGCTGCTCTTGTAATTCCTTCGTGCTGATTGTGTAAATTATTAGTGAGAAGTCAGGACCTCTAAGACTATACCCACAACATCCTCAGAGACGAGATAAAGCTCAGCTCTTTTGTACACACTGCTATTCACACTCCCTTATTCAAAAGGGCAGGCCAGTGTAATCACGTCATCTCCATCAGTTCGTTAATGTACACTTACCTAGACTACAAATCTCTGTCTGAGTAACAAGCCAGTCTCAACTCTACATCTGTATTGCTGCTCTGAAGTTGGGGAGAGAAGAAACTCAAAACAGCCTTCCCATCCATAAGAACTTTTATCTCAATGACGACAGCCACTGTAATGCATTATTGAGACTCGTATAGTAGATGCACAAATGCTATTCTGCTTTGTAGGTATATATAGTCTGCCAATCAAACATAAGAACATCCATATTAGGTCAGACTAAAGGTCCTTTAACCCAGTATCCTGTTTATTGACAGTAGCCAGTGCCAAGTGCCCCAGAGGGAATGAACGCAGCAGGACATCAAGTCATTTGTCCCCTGCCCATTCCCAGCTTCTGGCCAACAGATTAGGGACACCATCTGTGCCCATCCTGGCCAATAGCCATGGATGGACCTACCCTCCATGAATTTGGCTAGGTCTTTTTCAATACATAGTCTCGGCCTCCACATCATCCTCTGGCACAGAATTCTGTAGTTTGACTGGGTATGGTGTGAAGAAATACTTCCTGTTATTTGTTAAACCTATTAATTTCATTTGGTGACCCCCTATTTCTTGTGTTATCAGTAAGCAAACACTTATTTACTTTCTCCACACTAGTCATGATTTTATAGATCTGTATCATATCCCCCTTACTGATCTCTTTTCCAACCTGAAGCAGTCCTAGTCTTAATTTCTCCTCATATGGAAACCTTAATATTTTTGTTGTCCTTTTCTGAACTTTTTCTAGTTCCAATGTATCTTCTTTTAAATGGGGGTAACCACATCTTCACACAATATTCCAGATGTGAGGATACCATGGATTTATATACAGGCAATATATTTTCTGTGTTATCCTTTTCTTAATGATTCCCAACATTCTGCTTTTTTGACTGCTGCTGCTGCAGAGTGGATGAACTATGCAAGATCTCTTTCTTGAATCTCTGATTATAGCTAATTTATATGCTATCATTTTATATGTACAGTTGGGATTAGGGATGTAAAATCCTGTTTAATTGGTTAAGAAGTTAAACGTATTGATTAACCAATTAAAGGGGAATAGATAGGGAGGGCTGCCCCAACCAGGCTGGAGCAGCCCTCCTTCCTGCCGCTGGAGCACAGACCCCCAACCAGGCAGAAGCTGTACTGATTTGGCTAGAGCAGCTCCTGCCTACAACCCCTGGCATGCAGGGTATATGGGCTGCTACAGACAGAGGATGTTGGAGCAGCCCCTGCCTGTGGTGAGCCCTCTGTGAGGCTGGAGGAGCACCTGCCCCTGGCAGGAAAAGAACTGGTCCAGCCCCCACTTGTTAACTGGTTAAACATTCACATCCCTAAGTGGGATATTTTCTAATGTGCTTTACTTTGCATTTATCAGCATTGAATTTCATCTGCCTTTTTGCTGCCTGGTCACCAAGTTTGAGAGATCCCTTTGCTGGTCTTCACAATGTAATTTTGCAACCTCATTCTTTTTCCCTTTTTCTAGATCCATTTATGAGTAGTTTGAATAGGACAGACTCTTGGGGGACACCACTATCCACCTCTCTACATTCTGAAAGTTCCATTCATTCCTACCCTTTGTATTCTATCTTAATTTTTACCAACCCAGGAGAGGATATGAATAAGTCATACATATTCCAATTCTCTCTTTGCCCTCTCCACCAGTTTTCTATCAGTCTACTCCCTCTAGCTTTGCATCCTAGCTTTTCACCTACTAAGCATTTGTCTCCCTCTCTAAATAGCGCGTATGAGTCTTCATTTCACCACACCAGCTCCCAGTACCAGTTTCCATCCCCGGGCTCTTCCCTCCAGTCTCCTTATCTCACCAGTCCCAGCCCGCAACCCATCATTGGCTCCTCATGTGAATGGTCTTTCACCCTCCAATGGCTCTGCATATTTCCTCCTGAACTGGTTCCCAGACCTCTTTCATGCCCATATTCCCCTTCCTCCCAACTGGCTCCCAATTTTAGTTTCCCCCTCCACAATGTATGCTCCCATTTCTATCCTAGCCCAAGTCTCAATCCTCTTGTCCCCACCTACTCGCTCTACCACCACCCATCTCAG